ATTTAGTGTCACATTGCAGCAATATTTGAAAAAAGCCCTCTCCAGTAAAATTTGTTTAATGTCGCTTACACTAAGTCGGCGATAATGGCTCGATGTATTTGATTATTTAACTTTTGCAAAAATAAAACTCTAATTTTAAGTTAGTACTTAATATACTTTTTGTTATACACAAACTCACAGCATTTTTAAAATTCTTAAAATTTTCAAGTCCCCTGTAAGATGTGGCAATTTACTACCTCGAAATTCTCCTTTTAATTAAAGATCCTTAGTTATGCTCCAAGAGCAAAATCCAAAGGGCATTTTGACTGTTATTCTTTTTTAACACCTTTTAGGTCATTGGACCCATCGAAGTAAATAAACTTAAACATGGATGAGGACGAGATTAAACTCAGAGGAATAGCTGAAAATTTATACCGGAATGGACAAATTTTTCACGCAATAGCAAGGCTCATTGACGGATTAAAACTTTATCCACAGAGCATTGCTATGCAGAATTTGTTACAGCAATATAAAAATGCTAACCTATACCTGACAACATTCCTGACATTAAAAGAATATAAAGGTCAAAACGAAACGAAACGAGAACTTGAACAATTAACACATAATTATAACGTTGAACGAGACGTTAATGAAATAAAACAAAAAAATGGAAACAACATTGACGTTGAAGAAAAACTATATATGCGTCTAAAAGTGCTTAGTATGGAACTGAAAGTGGTTGAAACATTTATATCAAGAGGACTAATTGAGAATGGAAATGCCATAAAGAAAAATAGAGATAACATAGAAAATTGTTTGAAAAGAATCGACCAAGAATTACTTGTAGCTGAGAGTTCAAGTACTGAGCTAATGAGAAAAATTAAAATAATACTGAAAGAAAATACCGTAAAGAAAGAAGAGGTGAAAAAACCCGATGAAGACATAGAAGTCCCTGATTATAGATCTATAGTGACGGTGAGAGGCACAAATGAAGATGTCTCAAATTGTATACTTAAAGCGAAAACCGCTTTGGATAATGGGAAATATGATAGAGCTGAAAGCCTTCTCTTGAAAGCTGAAAGGATTTTTCCAACTAAAAACGCTAGAGATTTACTAAAACAAGTCCGGGCTGCTAAGGAGCCGAAACAGAACTCTGATCCTACTGAAAATTCTATCCAAACTGTAGAAATAGTTAATACAGTCAAAGAAAAAGAAGAGGAATCAAAATCAGTAGACTCCAGTATAAATGCAGATAAATGCTTGAGAGCATTTGAAGAAGCATTCGCTTCGGGTAATTTTGTGAAAGCCGAACGATTATTAAATAAGGCTAAAAGATTTGACCCTTCATTGGAAATCGAAAAGAAGCTCTCTCATGTCCAAATTGCCGTGAATAACAAAAACATGGAAGACAGACGAAAAGTGGCGATTAAGAAAGCAAAAAGAGAATGTAAGAGCGCAGGCGAGTGCCTCTACAAATCAATGAAAGCATATGACGTTGGTGATTTTGTAAATGCTGAAGAATTTTTGCTTCAAGCGAAGTCATTTGACCCAATGTTGCATTTAGAACCAGAGTTGTCGACTATTAGAACTATGATGGCTTCAGAAAATAGTAAAGAAAACAAAGATCTTGTTAACACTGTACCTGGGGAAACTGTGACTGAAAGTGATATCAAATTCGCTGCAGATTATCTCTATAAAGCTAAAAAAGCGTATAATGATGGTGACTTCAAAGAGGCTCAACGAAATTTACAAGGTGCAAAAACGTTTGACCCAGGCTTGAATTTGGAAACATATTTGTCAAAGTGTAGAGCCGAAATCGCTTCAAGCAATTCAATAGAAGTAAACACGGTTATGTCTAAAAAGTTACTAGATACTGTGACAATTTCCACTGAAGAAAAAATCGACGTATGTGAGCGTTATTTCGAAGAAGCTAAATATGTTAATAAGGAAAAGAACCAAGCAAAACCGAGTCGTGAAGCAATGTCTTCTGAAACCAAGTATGAATGTGACAAACAAAAAAAGATGGAGATGCAGATAGAAAGTGAAACTAAAGAAGCGGCAGAAAAAGAAAATCCAAAGGTAAGAAAGGATGACAAACTTGAAAGGCATGAAACGTTTGAGGATCGAAAAGGTAGCTTAGAATTTGAAAAGGACAAATTACAAGAGGTTGAACAGCTCGTTAAACATGAGAGACATTGTATTAGTAACGACGAATTGGAACTCGCAAAAGTTGCTTCGCTAAATGTTCAAAGCATAGACGCTGCACTTACGGTCAAATCGTTTATGAAGCACGTCGAAAAAGGATCAGAAAATCTCAAGAGATCTAATTGTTCTTCTCATTATAAGGCAGATTTCAAAGATACAAAACCTCTACGGAACGAAAAACAAGTTAAAACTTCGAACAACGTCCCAGAAAAAGCATTAGATGACCAAAAATTCGAAAAAGCCTTGAGTCTTTTGAACACAGCAGAACTCGCCGTTCCGATGACGTTTGACGAACACCCCAAAGAACTACAGAAGAACATGCACGTTAATTGCTACGAATTTCTTGTTAAAGCCAACGATACTGATAAGGCAGATTCATTAAAATGCATTAGAATTGCACAAACTGCCTTTGATAAAGGCCTACACGACAAAGCTGAACGTTTTCTTGTCAAATCACTAAGAATCTTCGAAAATCAAGACGCAAAATCGCTTTTGGAAACTGTACGCAACGAAAAAGCACAAAATATCACCAACGTAAACACCGAAAAGAGTTACAATGAACACGTAAATAATCATTCAAAAACTTTCGGAATTAATGCCAATGACGATGCTCAAAAACAGCCTGAACACATTCAAGGTGTTAGTTCGTCACAACCTTCGACTGATGAGTTATGTAAGCGTTACGTGGAAGAAGCTAAAATCGCCTACGAAAATTTAAACTCCAATGAAGCAAAGCTCCTAACATTGACAAAGTCATGTTATCCATGTGAAAAGGTTAACAGCATGCTTGATTATGTTAAGAAGGAAAAGAACCAGGCAAAGCCTAGTCATGAAACAATTTCTTCTGAAACCAAGTATTCATGTTTGGAAGATGAAAAACAAAAAGAGATGAAGTTGCAGATAGAAAGAGAAACTAAAGAAGCGCTAGAAGAAGAAAAGCCAAAGGTAAGAAAGAATGACCAACTTGAAAGGAACAAAACGTTTGAGGATCGAAAAGGTAACTTAGAAAATGTAAAGAACAAAGCTGACATGCGCGTCAAAAATGACACAAGTTCAGATAGATACAAGTTCGGTAAAGATAATTATCAAGAAGAAACACCAAGTAGTATCAAATTACAAGAGGTTGAGCAGCTCTTTAAACATGAGAGACATTGTATTAGTAACGATGAATTGGAACATGCAAAAGTAGCTTCGCTGAATGCTCAAAGCATGGACGTTACACCTACTGCTAAACCGTTTATGAAGCACGTCGAAAAAGGGTCAGATAATTTCAAGAAATCCAATTATTCTTCTAAACATAAGGCAGATTTCAAAGATATAAAACGTCCACCGAAAGGGAAACAAGTTAAAACTGCGATAAACATCCCCAAAAAAGCGTTAGATGATAATAAAATCGAAAATGCCACGAGTCTCGTGAACACAGCAGAACTCTCCGATCCGATAATGTTTGACGAACACGCCAAAGAGCTACAGAAGAACATGCACGTAAATTGCTACGAATTTCCTGTTAAAGCCAACGATAGCGATGAGGCAGAAGCATTAAAATGCATTAGAATTGCACAAACTGCCTTTGATAAAGGCTTACACGACAAAGCTGAACGTTTTCTTGTCAAATCACTAAGAATCTTCGAAAATCAAGACGCAAAATCGCTTTTGGAAACTGTACGCAACGAAAAAGCACAAAATATCACCAACGTAAACACCGAAAAGAGTTACAATGAACACGTAAATAATCATTCTAAATCTGAACGTTTTTCTTCAAAATCTTTCGGAATTAATGCCAATGACGATGCTCATAAACAGCTTGAACACATTCAAGAAATTAGTACGTCACTACCTTCGACTGATGAGCCGATTACTTCAAAACCTTTAAGAAGCCACGTTGATTTGAAACAAGAGCAAGACGCAAAACTGTGCCAAGCTTTGGCTGTTGAAGCTATAACTTGCAATAAGTTGCATATGGCTCGTTTTCATTTGGAATGGGCGTTAAGAGAACGACCAAATGAAGAAACAAGAGAATTGTTGCGAAGTGTGCAAATTCAAATAGACAACAATAATGGAGGTCATAATGATAACGATCAGTTAGAAAGGAAAGTTAAATTCGAAGCAAACAAACTACTCGATAAAGCTGACAATCTTATACGAATTGGCGATTTAGATCAAGCCGAGTTCTTCTTGGTCGTTTCTTGGACCTTGCGTAAAAGTAGGCGTACTACATCGATTCATAATAAATTTCTAGAGGCGCGACTGGCTCTATTTAATAATGATGCGGCAAACAAACGAGATGGAAAAGATAATGGAATTATTGAGAATATTTTTGAGTCTGACAAACTAGTAAAGTTAGCTTTGGACAAGTACAAAAGTCATAAATTGGAAGAAGCCGAAAAGTTACTAATGAGAGCCGCAGAGTTTTATCCAAGTGTTCGAATTGACAAACTGTTGGTGGAAATTAAAGAATTTAATAATAGACAAGGCGGAACATTTAAAAAACTGTTCAATTATGTTACAAAAAAATTTTTTTAATTATTTACTATTATACTATTTCACATAGGGTGATAAGACCATGACCGACATTTTAAGGGAAGTGTGTCTTTCAATTGGAAATAACTTTTTTGTTTTTAAACATTATTATATCAATAGTGATTAGTTTAGTTGACAGATTTATATTTGTCAACATCTGTATGGAACATACTACAGCATAATCTCTCTTGGGGATTATTCCCAAAGAAAGATTATGCTGTAGTAGTATGTTTCATAAAAAAACTATATAATTATTACTAAAAAATAACTAAACTAAACAAGAATTTCTCCAAATCTCCAATAATGAACACGAAAAATCCACTAATTAACTAACCAGTAATCGACAGTCACCAATAATGAACACTGAGTAATTGACACGTACCAATAAACAACGTGTTACCATGATAGAAAATTTGTCCTAAATCTAAATCTTAGAAATAAATTTTAAAAAGTCGGTCACTGGCGCCACCACCTTACTGTGAAAACATATTATGTTGGTCACATAAAACTTTTTATTTTTCTGGATACTGTTCATCTATAATTGTTGAAATCAATTCATTCTAGTTTTAAGAACCTTTTAATTCTAGGTAAGAAATAAGTAAAGCCTTTATAATGTCGCTAGACGAAAAGATACAAGAAGCAAAACAATGTGTAGAAATAGCTAAAAATGCTATATCGGTTGAAAACTTTGTAAAAGCAAAACGCATGATTTTGAAAGCTGAAAGAATACATCGTACTGATATTGGCCAACAACTTTTGAAACGTATAGAAAAATTAACTTTAAATAATAACAATGACGAAGGTGAAAACTATGTAATGGCAGCCGAAAAGTGTGTAACTATAGCACGTATAGCTATTGAAAATTACAATATAGTGAAAGCCGAAAGCTTTCTTTTGAAGTCTCTAAATATACATCCTACAGACGAAGCTAAGGAATTGTTAGAAAAAGTCAAGAATGGGCATGAATGCAACGAGCATACTAGACCTACAGAAACATTAGAGACAACTGAGGAATACATAGAGATAGCACGAAATGCTTTTCATGAGGGTAATTGTCAGGAAGTGTTACGCCAGCTAACAAAATCTGAAAGTATATGCCAAACTGCAAGAGCGACAGATCTCATAGAACAAGTAAAAGAAAAGTTGTCTGAAAACGGAGAAGATCCCGACGAAATACTGAAAGAAGTCAGAATGAGTACTGTCAGGAAAGACGCTGGCGTTCCACCACAACCGAAAAAGCGAGAAGTAACTCGCGAGCATCTCAACGCGATTCAGCGAGTGAAAGAGGCTAATGATGACTATGACATTTTGGGTAAGTTCACAAACCGGATTCAAATTGGATACATTATAATGATTTGGACTACTTTTTAACCGACTTCAAAAAAGGAGGAGGTTCTCAATTCGACTGTATGTTCTTCTTTTTTTTTGTATGTATGTTACGCGATAACTCCGGTATTTGCGAACCGATTTTCATGATACTTTTTTTGTTGGAAAGGGGGTACTTCCATAGTGGTCCCATTTCATTTTGAAGAAAATCATCCACCTCAAAGGGTGGCTGTTCACGCATGAGGATTCATTTTCGTAAATAGCGCCTAACATTAATTTAGGAGCAATTACTTTAATGGTTGATTTTGCTATTTCTCCAATTGAAGGCGTTTTTCTCTCAATATACTTTGAGTAGTGAGAACCGATTTTTATTATCTCCAGTGTCAAGTCCTGTATAGTGGCGAACTAGGGGATATTTCAATAAAACTTAGCAAATAGACGTAATGCCACTTACTTTTGAGGTCGGTTTTTTTAGTACTCTGTACTGAGATTATATTGTATTGCAGACGTCTGTTGCACACCCGTTCAACATTTCGTTTCATTATTAAGGCTCGGGGCTTTGATGCCTGCAATCGAATTTTAATATCTGAAACGTTCTTATGCAAATTGTAAATTCTGGTCATTGGTGTGATTATTAGATTTTTTTTTGTATTCTCGAGTCTCGCTACGCCTATGAATCGGCCGCCTATTCTTATTTATTTATTTATTTAATAGTTTATTGTACAGGAAAAATACAACAAGTCACAAAGAATACAAGCGAAATTAAAAACAAAAGGCAATTCTTGTTTAGTTTTATCTGCGTCTTCAGCCGTATCTTGTCTTTTTACCCTTGCTTGTACTCCATTTTTACCGCACTTACCCTTATTTGTTTAATATTATCCATTTTTGTGCCCAGTTTGTCCCATGTGCAAACTTGCTCATGCTCGTATTTTTACAGGTATACCAAGAGGATCTGAATTAAATGAAGTGAAAAAAGCTTTTAAGTTTCTGACAAAGGTATTGCACCCGGATAAAAACAAAGCCCCGGGCGCAAAGGAGGCTTTTATGGTAAGGGAACATTTTTTTAAATAAAGCTCAAAAACATTTTTATTTTGTGAGACAATCGAATGTATGATGTTGGTTGGAATCTCCTGAGCTCGAATTATGTTCGCACTTGCCTGGACTTTTACTCACTAAAGTTCGTTAACCGACATAAAAAAATGGAGGAGGTTGTCAATTCGAGTGTATTTTTTTATGTTTTTTTTTGTATGCATGTTACGCGATAACTCGTAAACCGAATTTGATGATTATTTTTTTGTTGGAAAGAGGATACCTCGGTATTGGTCCCATTTAAAGTTTAAGAAAATATTTCACCTCTAAGGGTGGCAAACTAGGGATGGATCCGGTTTCGCGCACTTTTCGGTAACCGATTTCAATAAAACTTACAATAAAACAGCAAATAACTGATGTAATTCCACGAACGAATTGAGATCATTTCTTTTTTATTATAAGAAAGTTATTATATTTACGGACTCCTATGGAATAAATTATAAGCTGTAAGACCTATTCCTATATTAGCAAACAGCTAGTTTATTTGACGTATTGTAATGTATTTTTATTTTTACAGATGGTGATGGATGCCACCGATCGTCTGAAGTCGAAGTTGCGGCCGTAAAATAAATCTGTTTCCATAAACTCGAGTAATGATTAGTTCAAATTGGGTTCTAGACAGTTGCACCGTTAGAATGAAAGTGACCCAACATAAAATTCCAACTTTTTGATTATTACGAATAAAATTTAACAATTTAAAAATATAATTTACAAACACTAGTCGCCATAAGGTCACTTTTTTGACCTAACAAGAATCAAGGCGTGTTTTGTGTAAGCGAATATTCTATTTTCATACAAATATGTTGTATAATAGTAAAAAGTAATGCCGCTGTTGTGGCTACCAGGATTCCATAGCGCGTCAGGAATGTCCGCAGACGCTCATGTAGATGGATTTGCAGCCATCACGAGAAAGGGACCGGCAGGCTTGAGTGCGTGGCAGCGGTAACGACATCGTGAATATTGTTGCTGGCAGGGTCCATGGTTCATTTCTTGAACATTGGACCAAACGTCAAGTATACACTAAACCCAGTACATAAGTTGTAAATGCTATTATTAGTGTGTAAGTTTTCTTTTTCTTTATTATACGAACCAATATGGATGAATAATCCGAAATAAAGTATTTGAATCGCGATTGCAGCAACCAGTGACAGTGTCGAATCGTTTGTAGATATTTCAATTGTATGAAAATATGTAGAATATGTATTGTATACAACACAAGTTAAGCAATATGTTTATGACCTTATCTATATTAAGCCGTTTTAATTAT